ATCTAAGTACTATTATTCACTGAGATTGTCTCACTCTGTATTTTGTTTGATTCTGTAGGTAATAAGTCTGGAGGTCAGCCATAACCCTCGATGCTCGTCTCCCTTTGTCAGCCTTTGTGTGTCCAAGCATTTGGGTGAAGCCTACCCGTTTTGTGAAGTTTTGGCTTACATTCTGACTGTCTATATATGTTAAATTCAAATGTTTTTTTGTTATACGCCCAAACAAAGGGCGGGGTTGTATATGTGTATGTAAACACTATTATCTGTTTATTTGTAATCCTGGCATGATAGTGGTCGCTCAATGGATGTAACTCTTTTCTTGCATGTTATTATATAAAATTTATGCCTCCTCTCAGGCCCCATATGTTATATATAACAAGTTAAATGTCCGTTTTTGAAGTGGTCATGCCCAAACTTCTAGGGGCAAGTTTGGGGTTGTGACACTGTCCCTGCTGCCCGAGAAGGTATAGATGGTCCCGCTGCAGCTCCTGCTGGAGCGCTTGGTGTGGCTGGGATCTGAAAAGAACAGTTTGTCGAAAACATTAATTACGGTGTTTATCAGATGCAAAGATGGAATGCAACATGCAGTGAATGAATGTAGTGTATCGTATTGTATCAGTACAGTATGGAGCAGATTGCAGTTGAAATGCTAAATGTGTCAGCAGAAGGTTTGATGGCATGAAATGTAAGCTGAAGAAACTTATCGGAATGTCGTAGATGCTGAGCAGGTTCATGCTCGTCTGCACCATCCCCATCAGAGAAGCCACTAGCTCAAGAGCTTGTCCGGTGTACTCTATGGATGCTTGTAAATGTATTGAGATGATCAGCGGTCTATAAAGCATAACTGAAATGATTTGAATGTGCAAAATGTTAAGTATAGTACATACCGGGGTTGGGCCTTGAACTCTGACAAGCTCGTGGCCAGCTGGTGTAGGCTCAATGAGAATTTGGTAAGCCTCCCCTGTGGGTTGCTAGCAAGTCAGTGTAGTAGGCAGCTTTGGCCATCCCGCCCTCTGCCTCGTCTGAGAACCTCTCCTGTCATGGGCCCTGGTCGTCCTGGACCCTTCGGCTCTCCCTCCCATAGCTGGAGCTCTAGCTCTCTTACTCCCACAGGAGCCAGTCAGAGGCGACATGAGGTATGTCTAGATAAAGGCAGTGTAATCACCCTCGACTCTGAAGAACTCAGCACTCTAGGCTCTCGTAAAATCAATCATCTCCTGGAAAGTATATCTCTCAGTGGCTCTCATATACGTTGGAGGCAGCATAGGAACTACCGGCTCGGGCAGACTGACGGTCTGGCGTAAGAACCGCTCACCCAAGAACCATGCTCGACAAACCGAGCCCTCAAGAAGAAGTCGAAATCGGGAAGCCTCCCAAGCACCGGCAAATTGATATCTGACCCCGTCAGGCATCACCGCCCAGGGCTGCCAGGCGATCTGTAAATAGTGAATATACAAATTGTTAGCTGCCATTATATATGCAATATGAAGTAGAGCTGAAATAACTGTAAGGTTTGAGTTACCTCTGCTGCGGTCACAGTGTCAAAAAATCGACGAAAAAATGAGAAGGATTCCCGCAGCCTCCGCTGGCACTGACCGTCGTATCGATGCGAGTATAGTACTATGGGAGGCATCTCCACCTCTGGCTCTGGCACAAAGGTCGGAAAATAGGCTTACACCCATAGCCGCAGAAAATAGAAGGACAACAGTGAGTATATCACGGATGAGTACAGATGAGACAGAAAGTAGATTGTGTATACAGTGTACAGAGAATGCAACGTAGCAGGCAGATAGTGTACACAGTGTGCCGATAATGTAAAGCAGAAAGCAAATTGTGTGTAATACAGTGTACGGTGTATGCAGTGTACAGAAAATGCGAAGCAGATGGTATAACAGGAAATGTAAAACAGAAGGGTAAGACATACCTCCCAGGCCCTTCAATAGCCTCCAATCAGATGCCTGCTCCGGCGGGAGGTGGAGCTCATATACCTGTATAGTGTGGCCAACCCTATGCTGCCCCAGTCACAGAATCGGACACGAGACATGTCCACCAAGGCGCTCATAAGGTAGAGCCTGACAGTGTTCGCCTGGTGGGCAAACAAGGTAGTACCAAACACGAACATCAGGAAACCTCGGGCGTACTGCTCGGTCTCCTCTCGGCTCTCTGGTGCTATCCCTCTGAAGTGATTAGCGAACCATGTGTATCGGACCATCCTTGATCGGGAGATGGGTGGGTGAGTGTGGACGCGCCCTCGGGCTTTATGCTACCACAGTTCGGACTCAAGTGTCATGGTTCTGAATCTAATCCCGCAAAGTGCTATGCGAGACCGATAAATCACCAAAGAGTCCAAATTCGGTAAATCGTTTTGAAAAACTGATTTTTAAGAAAGAAATGCTAAACATGGACTACTTTGCCAGATACAGAGTCGCCACCTAAATATTTATTTTGAAAAAATTTAGGAAACCCTGACTCGTTGCCTAAGGCCACGTGTCTGTCATCACCAAAGTTGCCTTGGCTCGGGAACTTGGGTACGATTGGGGAAGGTCAGCTATGAGCACCCCCACTCGCCCGATCCGAAGATCGGCCTGTACTATGCATGATATCGAGTTTTGAAAACATATGTGTTCTTATTCCGGTTAATTAGCTAATCTTACTATGTGATGCGCACAACACACAAGTATAGACTAGGTCGCCTAATTTGGAACAAAATATCGCATAGTTGTTGTTTGAAAAACGGTTTGAAGTTTGCTACTCGTAAGTAGGCTAAATCACGGATTTCGATGAATTATTCCAATTCAAGTAATCCAGCCTTCACCCACAGGCATTCAGGCAGTTATATCACATAAGCAATTAGCCTCATGGTAAGCAAGCTTTCATATTAACACTCACATACATGCAAGATGCTAAAGCATAAACACTCACAGTGTACTCTGAGCCAAAACAAAGAACATGTTAGTAATCAAATGTATGATCCAAGTCCATGTTAAGATGGCTAATGCATCGCAGGCAAAATGCAACTAGAATAGGCTCGACTAATCTAAAATGGCATATGAGATGCGACAATTTGACACATGTATTCAACTTGGAATTTAAATACAATGCAGTTAGTATGATGCGCCTAGCCCAGTGCATGCAATACAGATGAATGATGCAAACATGAATAGCATAAGGATGCTGATTGAAGCGTGCCCTAGAACTAACCATTGTAAGCGGTTAAGTAAAAAGGGAGAAAGAAGTGGAGGTTGGAAGACATGCATTACACACACGCACACTTATTACATGATTGCGCCCTCTCGAGGGAGGGACTGAAAGAATAATACAAATTAATTAACTAACAAGCCAATTAACTATTACACAATACTTAATTAATTAGATGGATTAATTAAGCTAAGAAAGCAGTAAAGAGGCCTCGGGAAGGGGGATGAATGCGTGCACGCTCGGCTCCGCTCGGAAATTCATCGCCATACTCATGCTGCCTCTGTTTACACTGCTCTGCACCTCTGAACATTGCGCGAGTCTCAAAGTTACTTCTGAACTACTCCCTGGGGGTTGTGGGAGGTCACCGACCAAGAGGTGAGGCCACCGGCCATGGGGAACTGGTCATCGACCATTTGTGGGGATATCGGCCAACGATACATGGCCGGCCGACACTGAAGATGGCCGACCGGCCAGCTCTTCCTGCAGAATCCTATTTTGCTGTAACAGAGGACAGACAGAGCATAGCAATGCATTTTCAAAGCAATGTGTGCACAACCACCCTCCCTATCATGTCATGAGCTCAAGGGAGTATGGTTCTCGACCTTCGGACCACCAATCACGCATTTCAATGCATGATGGCCAAAGAAGCCGAGTGTGCGAATTAATGTACAATGAATGCACATAAACACGAAAGGGGACCCTAACCTCCATCATGGTTGATCAAGAGGCAAAGGATGCATGCTTAATGCTATGCAACCTAGGCATGTAAGCAAGCAAATGTTCAATAGGCATACAACCTAAACAAACAAGCATGCATAGCATGTAACAGCAATGCCAATGATGAACATGCAAAAACATGTGAGGCAAACATGTGACAACATGTTAAGTAACTAAAAAAAAAAGAATGCATGCCAAATGCATTACAACTTAA